TATGAAAACTTCTCTGTAAAATGCCTTCAATTTGAAATTATCTATTTCATATACATTTGAAGTACATGGAGCATTTTTAAGAACTTTCTGAAAATCCAGGTCTGCTTATAAAAGGGAAAGTGTGTGATGGTTGGTACTTAGTAGCATTTCACATTTCTATTTCTAAATCTTGCCAAGATAAACATTACCCAGATAAAGACTGGCCCACTTTCAGCTGTGGAGTTTGAACTTTGTAACAACCAAACAATTGACTCTGATAGTCAAACCTCTGTGCACTATGTGTGAATGGTCTTTTCTTAAGGAAAATATGAAAAATGCAGGCCATGTCTTCAGCAAATGCAAGTAGCCCTCACTATCTGATTCTGTTAAGTTCCTTAGGAGAGGAAAGACATCTACGCAGCACCAAGTGCCAGGCACACTGTGCTTTGCAACACTAGGAGTTCGGTACCATTGTTTACTGGTCTACAGATGAGAAGACTCAGGCACACAGAGGGTTACTCACCCAAAGTCACATGGGAATGTTCAAGAAAAAGAATGGCAGTACAGTGGGGGCAGGGTTGCAGGGCAAGGAGAGTGGTGCAGGATGAGTATTACACATCCATCTAAAGAGCAGAATCTCATTCTGAGTGTGATGGGAAACGCTTGGAGAAACTAGATGCTTGTTGTCCCACCATAATTATCAGTGGTGCTTTGTTGTCTCAGTTTGAAATACATTGTATATTATGTGGTCACCTTTTAGATGTTAATTTTTGAGATGTCTACTAGATATCAGAGCAGAGATGTCAAAGAGGCAAATGCTAAAGTCCAGAATTGTGAGAAGGTAGGACTAGAGATAGAGATTTAGGAGTCCATTTGCATATCTATGAAATGTAAAGCTATGGCTCTCGATGAGCTTATCCAGAAACAAAGTGCAGATTTGTAGCACTAGCTGGCCAATCCTGGAAAGGGCTGACCAGTGGAAGTCTGCCAAGAAAAGAAGGCATGGTCAATAAGATTGAATACCATGGACATGCCAACTAAGATACAGACAAGTGACTAATAGAATTGGCAAATAGGAAATCATTAGTTGGCCCTATCAGGAGTGATTCTGGTGGACTGAGAAAGGTAAGAAAGCAACTGGAATAGGTTGAAAGGCAGTTGTTTTCAAGAAGTTTTTCTTTAAAGAAAGCAAATACTAAGATTTGTTTACTAGTACATGCTGATGGGTATGACCCAAGAGAGCTGGAGATGGAAAACTGTAGGTTTCATATCCTTGAGGAAGTGAAGGTGGCAGACTTTGGATGAGCGCACAGATACTAGTCCTGGTCTGAGTGTGGCATCAGGTGTAGGCAGGTTGATGGAGTGGGTGGTATGAGAAGCAAGAGAGTTGCTGTCAGAGAAGGACAGTAGAATGGGATAGGAGTATGTATAGTAAGAGTCAGAAGGAGGAGGTATGAAAATCATCTGGAGTAGTAAAGTGAACATACAAGAGGGTATATAAGAAAGTTTGTCAGAATTGAGTGACCCTGTGTGCTTTGTCGGCCATTAATTTAGTCTAGTCATTACAGCAGCAAACTTTAGGGGCACAGGCCCATGTAGAGAACTTGAGACACATGCAGTTTTTAAAATACATTTGTAACTTACTCTAACTTGAAAAGATTAAGTTAAAATCCACATTTGTGGTGAAAAAAAAAAAATCCAGTATATTGCCCTAGCCAGTTTGGCTCAGTGGATAGAGTATCAGCCTGCGGACTGAAAGGTCCCGGGTTCAATTCCAGTCAAGGGCACATGCTCAGGTTGCGGGCTTGATCCCCAGTAGGGGCCATGTAGGAAGCAGCATGAGGCAGCCGGTCAATGATTCTCATCATTGATGTTTCTCTCCCTCCCTCCCTCTCCCTCTCTGAAATCAATAAAAATATATTTTTTAAAAAATCCAGTATATTGACTTTATATTCCCTTAGACTGAATGTTACTACATTTTCTTTTGTAAACCTTTGAACCTGCCTTTTTCCATTCTTGCATTCTTATTCAGATCTTTCTGAGTAAACTTTAAAATAATTCAAAATCAACAACAGAACAGGGAGAGATGCTCTTACATAAAACACTAGAGTCAAATTTTTATTTCCTGTGTAAAAAGAGACTCTAGTAACAATTATTTCCTTTAAGTCATTTAGTGGAATATAATTACACTAAACTCATTTCTGTGGCAAAATATAATTAGCTGCCACAGTAAATATGGTCACCAGGAAGTTCAAGCTAGACAGCCTGGTAAATCTAGCACAGGCAGCACTGAATGCCGACAGCAGAATTAAGGACTTGTTACTGATGGCCCCATTTCTGTTTCTGGACCTAAACTGGAGAAGTGACTTACACTAATTCAGAAATTATATAGGAAATTCAACTAACATTGAAAGACTGTTCCATATTTATATGAAGAGAATAAAGATATACCCTCATACTGATTAAATCAGATAATGTGTGGACAGTACCTGGTGGGTAAGTAGATACCCAATATATATCCATTTTCTACCTTCCTCCAACTGGTTCCCATCCCTTTGAGTCACTTCTGTTCAGTGAGATGTCTAAGTTGGTTCCACAGCTACGTAGGACAGAGGGAAGTGCTCACTACTTTGTAACTTTATCAGTTCCCAAATTTCAGAGTGCATAGGAATCACCAGCAGAGGTGGTTAAACTGCAGTCCTACAGACCCCACCCTACAGAGATTCAGCAAGTTGGGGTCAAACCTAGAAATCTACATTTTTTTTTTTTATATTTTATTGATTTTTCACAGAGAGGAAGGGAGAGGGACAGAGAATCAGAAACATCGATGAGAGAGAAACATCAACCAGCTGCCTCCTGCACACCCCTACTGGGGATGTGTGCGCAACCAAGGTACATGCCCTTGACCGGAATCGAACCCGGGACCCTCCAGTCCGCAGGCCAACGCTCCATCCACTGAGCCAAACCGGTCTGGCGAAATCTACATTTTTAATCTTTATTAGAGTTGTTTAAAATATATTTGCATTTCATTTATTGTGTTGGCATCAAAATATATTCAGAGATGTTTTATCTTGTTTCTTCATTAACGTCAAAAATTTGTAAACTTTCTAAACTGCTATGTAACTAAAAATTTTAAGACTACCCTGTTTTAAAATTTCCTTTATTCCCTTAGATCTTTATGAAACATTTCATATGTTGTAGATCATAGTGTTTTATTAACAGATTCATGTATTCTTTTCTTATTCCTTTAATACAAAAAACTTCAGTCATCAGTTATTTTCATCTAAGTGCAGGACTCATAATATCAACATTAGATCAGTCATTCAGTGGGTTACACACGGTTACCCTCTTTGTGCAAATACCCACTCAAAAGAAAAGCTGAATAACAGATACCTCCAGGTATATACAACCACCTTAGTTTCTTGAAGTGAACTAGTACTGTTTACAGGTCAAATGCTAATCTACAAAAATAAACTGAGAAAGACTCAAGTGTACAGCTATACATATCAGATGGCAAGTTCATTTCATCAAGAACCTCCATGACTAACTTCATTTGTACAGTTCTCTGCTATCATTGCAAAAGCCTCTCCTGAACAAAGTTACAATTTAGAATTTAAAACAAACTCAGTAAGATAAAATGTACCAGGTGGCTTTTCTGTAGCAGAAATTAATCACAACTATTTTATTTTCCTCAAGCAATTTTAAAGATAAGCAAAGTTAAAAATAAATATGCAAGCATACAGTCAACTAAAGTATGTTTAGAAATGCAGGTATAAAGCACAGCAGAACCTATGACTAGAGAAGATAAATTAGAAAAATGACCTATTAATGAAGTGATAATTTCTTTCAAATAGCAGGAAACAAGTTCTCCACTACCATTATTTTAGGTCATTATTTGTGTTCATCTATTAATTTGGGGGGCAAAAACAACCATTGCTAATTATGACATTTGACCAGATATACCAACAAGTGTACCTTAAATTACACGGCATGAAATAAAAGGCCATTTAATTTCTGATGAATTGAATTCCTTAACGACTTTTCAGTTTTCAAGAACATTTGTAGATTTGCTTAAAATCCCTGCTGGTATTCATGAAAGGTTTTGAAAAGTAATGTTCTTATCCGTTTGGTAATCCACATTAATGTAAAAATTCTTTGTTGTTTACAAACAGTTCAGCCTTGGGTGTGGGAGTGATCTGTTTTAAGTTCTCAGGGAGACTGTTTCACTTATTTACTCCAGAGCATCATACCTTTCCTTCCCTCCCTTGCAAGGAAAAAAAAAAATCTGCAGAATAGAGGCAAATATCTGGACTTAGTATAAAGAAAACGGATTTTTTTCAGGATTGGATTATAACACCTAGTTAGGATGAATGCCAAATATATATATGCCATTTTTAAATTTTTTATGAAACAAGAAACAAACAGATGAATTTCAGCTAAGTCATATTCTTTGAGAATGACTGAAACATGATATGTTAATTAAGACTTGTCACACTTATCATCCGCAATCAAAAACTTCAATTCCCTGCCTGAATTTGACTTGGAAAATGATACAAAGTCTACAGCTACTTTAAAGGATGGTGAGATAACATTTTAAAAGCCTATAAACCAGTGGTTCTCAACCTTGGCTGCACATTAGAATCCCCTGGGAATCTTTTTAAAATCCTGATTTCTGGGCCTCTTCCTCCGGAAATTCTGTTTCTTTGTTGCTAATGTTGTAGCCTCACCCCATAACAAAGAAACAGAATTTCTGGAGGATGTGGCCCAGAAATCAGGATTTTAAAGAGATTCCCGGGTGATTCTAATGTGCAGCCAAGGTTGAGAACCACTGCTATAAACCATTGAAAACACATATATTTTAAGTTCAAAACTAATCCCTGGAGCCCATTTCATTCCATTTAAAAGCTCCCACATATTTGTGGCTCTTTTACCATGTTTTTAAAAAAACCTGCTTATAATTTAAGCCATCCTAGAGATAAAACAAATGTGAAGAATTCTTTTTATATCTGGGGTGTCCTAGGTAATTTTAAAAAACTGAAAATTATTTATTTGTTCCTCCTTAATCTGAAACTCTTCCAACAAAGCTTCTGACTAGCAACGACATGTTCCTTAGGCACTGTGAGGTGTACTGATGATGGAGCATGAACCCAGGTTCAAGCATATTGTTGGTCCTAACTACAGGCAGTTAACAAAAAGTTAACCACTACCTTATCTGCTGAGAGCAAGAAATGCTTTTACCCCAAGACTCCTGAGATTCTTAAAGAGGGAAAACTGATCTGATACAACTTTTAAGAGAATCCATATATAATGCTAAGAACTGCACAATGAGGGCGTTAGAAAAGATGTTTTCTTTTGTAAGGCATCGATGATGAAATAAATATAATGTATATCTAACAAAAGATGTTAACACTCAGGATCATAAAACCCTTTATCTTTTCTTTTAAATTTCTCTAAATCTTGCTACTTTTACCAGCTTAAATAAGAAAAGAATGCCTCTTGGCCTAATCAACTATCATTATAAAAAAACTAAGACATCTGAAACTAGTAGGCACATCAAAATTACAGTTTATGTAGTTCAAGGTTCCCTTTTTAAGGGACAGATGTGTTACCTGGCACATTATACATATGGAATTGTAAAGGTCATCCACTAAATTCAACTTTCACATTTTTAGTTAAACTAAAAGACTTATAGTAAATACTCAAATATATCTTCAGTTACAGCTGATAAGTGTAACATTTTACCAGATAAAAAGCTGGAATTTAAGTATGAGAAACCTTCATACACTGTGCTAGTATTGGTCTCTTCTTTTTAGATGAAAGCCAGTCATCAATACTTTCAACACAGCAGTTTAAGAAGATAAACATCCAAAACAGTTGACTTAGTTGTAGTCCATAATTTAGCAATTCAATGCCACTGGCATCATAATGCTGTAGAGAGCAAATGTATCTCCATGTTTTAGTCAGATTTGTCTTTCTTCTTTCCTGTTAAGGGCACTTTGTTTACAACAGCAGACCCAACAGCTGTAACACCTCCAGCCACAGCAGACACGCCCCCTTTCACCAGCCCTATTCCCATGGAAGGCACAGTTGTAACAGCTGTTTTGGTCACCTCCAGACTCTTTCCACCAATCCAAGCCACACCACCAATGGTGGCACCAACAGCTCCTTTTGTAACACTGAAAATACCGCCAGTCACACGGGACAACATGCCTGGTTGCTGCTGTGGGTGATCTTTCATCGATCCTAATGAGAAAATAGAATGAAATTGTTAAATACGTCTACAAAAAACAGTACAAATCAAGTAACCTAAAACTTCCTAATAATCAGGAGGTTGTTTTGAGAAGGTTGACCACATTACAAATGTCCATGTTCAGCAGTGGCTAAATTTTTAAAATCCAAATTTTTTATTTAAGCTATTTGAGTAATAAACATAGTTAATATAAATTTTTAAATAGCTGAATTAAAAGGCTTAAGATATAGATAAGCATTTGACTATACCATAGTCATGCCTTACCTATGGTTTCCCTTGGTTTGAAAATATTAAATGGCAAATTTCAGAAATAATTCATAAAATTTCAATTGTGTGCCATTTTGAATAAAGTGATGAAATCTTGAGCCATCCCCCACCATCCGCCTAAGAGGTGAATAATCCCAATGCCCATCACAATAAGATAGTTTGAGAGAGGGAGACCACATTCATGTACTTCTTTTACAGTATATCGTAATGGTCCTATTTTATTATTCTTGTTAATCTCTTGCCTTGTCTGATTTATAAAGTGAGTTTTATCATAGGCATATATGTATAGGAAAAAACCATGTTATTCATAGGGTTTGGTACTATCCAAAGTTTCAGGGATCCACTGGGGGTCTTTGAATGTATCCCTTGTGCATAAGGGGGAACTACTGCATTAGTATAAAATTATGATGGAAAGGATTTCATAATTGGTCATTCTTTTGTAATCAAGGTCAAGGTCAGTAACACTAGGGAAGGAGGAAAATCCTGATTTGAGAATAAAACATACTGCTTCACACAACACCTCATATAGGATCAGATTGCTAGGCTACATTTGGTGCACAAGCATTTAATGAAGGTAGTTTTTCTCAGTCAAATCCAATAAATATTAGTGCTGTTAATTTCTTTAATTACAGTGTACCCTTAATTACCACCCTATAAATTATCTACTTTGCAGACTACTTTTGTTTAGCAGGTTGCCATGCACAGTCATTCCTGAGGCTTGTTCTTTTCCCTGGCAGTCATGCTCCTGGAGAGCCTTTATCTCTTTCCTGGTGACTTTCTCACAAAGTCCTTATTAACCTTTCACTGAGTCCTAACTTCTTTTCAGGGCTCTAGCCCTAATAAATAAAACAAGGAAAACAGGTGAGGTGATAATTTTCTAGGCTATTTCTCCAGCAAACTAAACCTTAGTTACCTCCATCCTCTTTTAGGCTTAAGTATAAACTTTTAATTGTGTTTATTTTCCTAGTGATTTCATTTTTGACTGCTAACATAAATATAGGAAGAAAGTTTTGGACAATGAGCAACAGAACTGGGAATAAAATACAATACCTAGAGCTAGAAGTTCAGCCTTAGCCTCTTCCCAGAGACATCCTCATCCGTCTGCTACTGTAACCTATCTGGTCTGTAAGTCACTTAACATCCCTTATTCTCCAATTTGATTCTCTTTCTTACCGAATATAACGGTCCTGTACAAACATGCAGTTGTCCAAAGAGATCACTATTTGAATTAAAGGTAATAATATTCTACACCAAAACATTAAATAGAAAATGCCCATGAAGACATTTAGCTGTGCAGTTAGTGTTTCCAAGGATTTCTGAAGTAAAGATAAGAATAAAATGATTCATGATATAACAATTTTCAAATTAAAGAGAATTTAAATTAACCAGGCCCTAAGACCATGTATAATATAGGAAGAGAGAGCTACCAATTATTAATGAGATGAAATGATAGGAGTTTAACAACAAATCGCAAGTACCTCTTGAGTTTTTGTACAGTATCAACACTAAACACAGTCCAATTTTCCTCTGCATCCCACCCACTCTTCTTTACAAATTAAAGGATATTCTTACTTGTGAAATAAAATAAGAGTAACAGGAAAATAGATTTTACATGTACCCATATCAGTGTTTTCTTTTAGAGGCTAAAAAGGTTTATCATAGATTATTTTTGTAATGTATTTACTGACAAGGTAAACAGTTTTTTAAATTTAATAAAAACAATCAGAACTTGGATTCAATAGGATATTTGTTCCATTCTTAGTGTTACAGGTGCACACTTACCTTCTGGTGGTTCGTCACTAAGGTATGATGGGATATCTTGTTGATTTTTATCTGCCTGATTCATGATCTAAAAAAACACACACATATTTCATTTTAACCTCAACATGGGAGACTACCACTTATCACATGCTCAATTAAGACTTAATCAACTTTTTTCAGATAAACAACAGTTTAAAACACCCATCACAAGACTACTTCTTGATTCTCTCTTGTGGTATTTAAGACATACTTTTAGTTATACTATGGACAATATAAATCTTTTCTTTAAAATATATTTTATTCATTTTTTTAGAGAGAGGAAGGGAGAGGGATAGAGAGTTAGAAACATCGATGAGAGAGAAACATCGATTCAGCTGCCTCCTGCACACCCCGCAATGGGGATGTGCCTGCAACCAAGGTACATGCCCTTGACTGGAATCGAACCTGGGACCCTTCAGTTTGCAGGCCAACGCTCTATCCACTGAGCCAAACCAGTTAGGGTGACAATATAAATCTTATCTCAAATACCAACCAAAGAATGGTAGGCATTGTATAGTAGACGTTTCCCTGTTTTACTGCTGCTTCAACTTAAACTGAAGATGACTAACTGAAGAAAGCTGGAAGGTGGGGGTTAGCAGACAAAAATTTTAAGTGTCTCCTCTTACAGAATATTGGCTGACTCAACTGTAATTTATTTCAAAACAGAGTTAGAGAAAAACCTATGACTAAAATATGTTCTATCTAAAAATTTTCTAAAAAAACATAACATCCTTCTATAGAGATGACACCATCAGTCTGAATCACTAAGAAGGATTTTGATTAGTTTTTTATTGTTGTTTTTAGAGCTCTAATAAGTAGGTAGCAAAAGAGTCCAAAATCTATGAAAAAAAGTACTATGATTACTTCTAAGTATATATAGTAAAGAAACCTAATAAAATAAAGCTACGCTTAGGATGAAGAAAACAAACTTTCTTTTCCCAATTTCCTTTACTAATTTTTAAAAGTCTTTATTGTTAGAAGTGTTACATATGTCCCCCCTTTTTCCCTATTGACACCTTCTAGCCCGCCCCCCCACCCCAAGCCTTCACCACCCTACTGTGTGTGACCATGGGTTATGCATATATGCATACAAGTTCTTTGGTTGATCTCCTTTACTATTTTAAAATATTTGCTTTTATAGTCACTTGACTAAGTAAAAATGAAAACAAGTTATGACCGGTCTAAAATTTTCTTGGCCAGAAAGTGAGGTTGTGGTCCCAGCAGTCCACTAAGTATTCTGGACTACCTAGGCCCGAACTAAGGCCAGGTGGTGGTTAGCTTTTAACTCCTGAGTGAGATGGGGAGCCAGTGAAAGGCACCGAACGGAGAGGAGTGATATGTTCTGATTTATACTTTTGAAAACAAAAATTCTGGCTATTGTGGGAGAACACTCAACAGGAGAGCAAGAACAAGCAGAAAGACTTGTTAGGAGACTTAGAATAATGTTTTCACGGTTCATACATTTTGCAGCAAGTTGCAGAACAGAGTGGTTTAAGTGGTCAAAGGAAAGTCAGGGAACTTTTCCTTTCCTTAATGATTCCTAATGATTTTAAAGTACTGGATGATCAGATAAAAATTCATATTTCCTTCTGTAGCTCAATAATTACGGCAAAAGTTGGTAAATGAGGGAAAGCGAGGTAATGGTTGTGAGAAGTGGGATTTTTCAAAGGTAATTTTAACTTTATGTAATTCAACTTGCAATGCCTTTAAAACCTAAATCCTGTTTAAGTTGGGACTTCACTGTATCCCACAGAGTCCAGCAGCCCCTGCCAGAGTGCTTAAATATCTTTCAGTTGTTATCGTGACTCAGGCCTCTTACCAAGAACACCTATCTTATGCTGGTCTGGTTTGTGAATTTAGCAGATCATCCCATACACACTTGAGATTTAAAGTGATAGTAAAGACATGTAATCTCTGACAAAGAACAAAAAGGAAAGAATATCAGGTGATGCATTCCTGGGAGAAGGAGTTCTTGACTGACCTGCCTCAATTTTAAAACTCCCTTAAATCAGAATGTTAAATTTGTTTCCATTCATATTTATATTCCTTTAATTTATCATCATGGTAATTTATCATCGTAGGTATTACACAGCATAGTGTTTACGGTTCTGGGATCAGAGAGCCTGAGTGTGAATCCCAACTTGACCATAAACTGTATGGCTAAGGACAAATAACTTCATGGATCTGTGTTGTTCAGGAAATACAAAATAAAAATTAAAGATATTCTAGCCCTAACTTTAAGGTGAGAATACTATTTAACAAATTCAAGCCAAAACATACAGAAATTCCTGGCAGACTATATGTGTCCCTTCCTAAGGAATAACTATTTGAGAGCTACTTTCTTCCTCAATAAACTCTTGATTCGTAAGAGAGACATTTTGTCTAGCTTATTCAGCACTGTAATCCCAGTATTCGTATACCATACACATACAAATCCAGATCACTAATCAATAGAGGCTATCATTCCCTGTACAGAAATATGGGAAAATTATATACACATTATACACCTTACATATTTTAGCAAGCGTTAAAAAGAGTTGTGATAGTAATTGCATACATTTCAAAACTGCCTTTCGGTATATATCCCACAAATCCCTACTAAGAGTCTTACCTTTTCCTCCTAATACAGAATCCCTTTTAAAAATATTTTTAATTTTTCCAAATCTATCTTGTAATAAAAAAGACCACTTTTTTATACTGTGCTTTGTGAAAGCATAAAAGATATGTGCAAATTCATCTAAATAATATGAATTAACTTTACCTTCCTGTGGGTAGACAATAAGGAGCCAGGAAGCAGAGTAACATTGTCAGACCTGTGCTTTAAGAAGCTAACTGGAGCAAGAACATTTAGGACAAAAAGATTAAATACAGTAAGTGGCTAATTTAGTAGTCTGGGGAGATGGACTAACAGTCTGAACTCTGCCATTTTTCCTGTCTAAATAAATGTTTGGGCCAAAAACGTAGGAGTCACCTTTGATTTCTTCTTTTTTAACATTCCCACCTAATCATTGATATATTGTTGCCTAAATAAATCCAGCATAGGACTTCTCATAACCTCTACTGCTAGCACAATCAGTTAAGCCATCATAATCTCTTACCTGGACTACAAAATCTCTTAACTGGCCTCTGAGCTTCCACCCTTGCACAGCTAGACCTTTCTGTCTAGCCATGTCATACTTTGCTTAAACCCTCCTGCTGCTGCCTATTTTTCTTAGAATAAAATCCAGAGTCCATCCCTTCACCTCTAAAGCCCAACATCTAACACTCTGATGTCATTTTCTACCATTGTGCCTCTTGCTCGGTCCAGTCTAGCAACATGGGAACTTCCTTACCTTCTCCTTAAAGGCTCTTCCTCTACATATATACCTGGCTTCTTCCTAACTTCCTTCAGGTCTTTGTGTAAATGTCCCCTTATCAAAGGTCTTCCCTGACCCCCTATAATAATGGATAAGCACTTTCCTAACTCCTCTCCCTCTCATTACCACCTAATCCTGCTCTATATTCTTCACTGTGCTTATTGTCCTTTGATATCTGTATGTGTTCACTTGGTGTCTCTTCCAATTAGAATGTAAGGTCCATGAGAACAAGACGTGGTTTTGTTCCCTGTTCCATCGCAAGGGCCATAATCAATGCCTGATACATGGACACTCAAGTACTTGAACTTTTTGGTATGAAGTAGAAAATAACTTTGGGTATTAATGAGAGATAAAAGGAGAATAATTAACTAAATAGACAGAGATGATGGTGAAGACAAGCAACAGGAGAGGAGAAACTATTTCTGAGAGAAGATGGACTTTTAAAATTTTATTTTATTGTGGTAAGAACACAAGATCTACCCTCTCATAAGTGTACAATACATTATTGTTGACTATCTGCACGATGAAAGGATTTGTTTTTGAACAGCTGTATTTGAAGATGCCTTCAGGGCATCCACAGAGGTTTAGCAGACAATTGGATTTAAGGGGCTTGAAATTCAGGAGTGTGACTTGAGATCCTGAGAGTGGTTTGAAGTGATACCTGAAGCTGTGGAAGGTGGGTGATATGATCAAGGAAAAGAGAGAAGTAAACTGATAACTGGATTGCTCATATTTAAGAGGTGAAAAAGCCAACAAAAAACAAAAAATATACCTGGAAATGAATAGTCTAATGAGTACACCCTCATGGAAAGCAAGAGATAAATTTATAAGCTTTCTATAAACACATACAGTGCAGACATTAAAATAATTTATGAAGATCAAATACTATGGGGAAATGCTAATGTTGCATTTAGAAAATATAAAAGGCATATGTCATTGATCTAGCTTTTTAAAAAATGCACATAAAGAGACTGGAAGGAAGTACACTAGAGTGTTGACAGGCTGCCAGTATGGGGATGGGGGCAGGTTATACACACACACACACACACACACACACACACACACACAGTATTTCTACATATAGAAATGAATATATTTTAAGTCTTAGAAATCAGTGATATACATAAAGGACATTTTTAAAGATTATACAGTTCATCTACCTAGTTATTCTAGGTTTTCATCCTCAAATCAAGTTAGTCATCTGAAAAACAATGTACTTGAATCATAAAAGCTGACTGGAGGAAAGTGACATCACTGAGTTTTATTCCTGGTTATGTCCTTGGGAAGGGAACCGTGACAAATAACCTTATGCAGGCTATTACTACATTAACTGTACCACACTGTTAAGGAATTACCCACTAACTACATTTCTTTAGAGCTATTCAGAAACCTTTATAGGTATTCAGTTTTTCCCCCAAAAAATACTTAGCATGTTTTCTTCTCTTTGAGACCTGGCTTCCAGGACTCTTAGTTAAAATTCCTGCTCAACTAGGTAAGTTCCTGTGGCCTGGATAGCGTGTCCCATTTCCCTCATCCCCAACTCCACACTATCTTGAGACTTCACTCTTATTGCTATTTTCTCTGGTCTGCAATTTAAATATCTTATTTTGTTAGTACATGTTTTTGCTGTAAATGGACACAAAGTATTTATGGAATTAGTGGGATAAAATATCATTTGAATCCACATTAATTTTAAGCATCACAAGAAAAATGCATAACGATATATGATCCAACTTTATGATTAAAAACAAACCACAAAGCACTTTAAGCTAGAATCATGCTTTTCAGATGTACATCTTTAAGATTAGGCAATGGTATGCCAGGGGCTTCAAGAACCACGAGACACATGCTACTT